TTTCCAGATATTAAGAAAATAGCAGATTTCAGGTGACTAAAGATGGTAAAGTTGGAAGACCCAATTTCAAAGAACAAGAAATCAGTAGATGCCAAAAGGTGTACCTCCCACAAGAAGCCGAAAAAGGCCCATACAGTAATAAAACTGTCAGCCAGGAGCCAACCAGAGGGTGTTAATCTACAAATCCCAGAATTCTCAGCCAAATTGGCCAAAGGCTGATGGGTAAAAGAGGACGGAATGAAGCAAATTCAGGCAGAAGTGCCACAACTGCACGGAGAACCTTCCTTTAGAAAAGAGCAAGCGGTAATATCTTGTTACAGCAGTTTCAGTCCATTTGCCGGTGGCTTGAACTAAATTTAATGGAGCCTTTGGCCAATGCTGCTGCTGCCATTTTTAATCCAATCAGTCTGAATTAACATGCAGGAGCTTTCTCAAGCAAAACCATTTCTCGTAGAGGAATTCCAGTGGAGGACCTTCTTGAAAAATCTCTCGTTAGGCAGACATAGGATGGTGACTGGCATCACTGTCAGAAGGAGGACAACTGAACAAAAACCAACCAAAGCAAGACAAGGAGCGGAGAGAAAACATTAGAAAGACTCAGGGCTCCTGTCGGAATAAGCCAATTCACCTTACTGGAAGAATGGAATAATACCTAATGAGTAATAGAAGTTGGAAGTACATGATAATGTTCTCTGTTTGCCTCTCAGCCCTTCTTTTTCAAGGCATTTGCCACAGTTAGACCTATGTTGACTTAGTTCCTATAAAGAATCATATCTGCATGTTCAACTTTTGAAGGCTTTATTCATCATAGGCAATGAAACATATTTATGAGCTTCTGGACCAGAAAGAACAGGCTCCTTGTTCAACTGAGTCTTCTCAGACCATCAGGTGTGCTCCATATGGGCCTTTCGTCTCCATTTTACCAGTTTTGCCTTGCTCCTCAAACTTGCTTCCTGGTCTGCTTCCAATTTTTTGATCCTGATTCCAGAGTTGCTGCTTTCAGCCTCCTGGGCACCCACAGTTGTGACCTGGCTAGGCCCCCTGGCCCCCATTTTTTGTGCAATTGAAGGAAGTCTAGGTCACTCACATGTCCCCGGTAATGTATGGATGAAAGTGGAGAGAAGAATTCAAAGAAAAGGAAGTAGGGGAGCATAATTCTACCTGTTCCCAGTTCATTCCCCTGACACCCCTTGAGGACTTGTGTCTTGAAGAGCAAAGCAATTTCTCATCTTGCACTTGAAGACTCCTGCTGAGAAAGGCAATTGAGCATTCTAAAATGGTAAATGGCTGCTTGGTTCTTACTGAGCTGGGAAAAAATAATAATATTCCCCCCTCCTCCCTGTGATTAAAGCCCCTTTCTGAGTCATCATTCTTAGCTCAAGCAGGCTGAATTTAGGTAAGGCTCCAAAATCATTTCCATACGCTAATGACTTCATAAAAGCTTCTTGATAAAATGTGATGCAGCCGTTGTTATATTTCTGAGACAGAAATGGGGACATAACTCTTGCTTAAAACCCAAACTGTGCAATGGATTTATCTGGGAGAGGAGTGCTGGATGTCAGAAGAGGCAAAGCTTAGCAGCTTTGACCAAGGGAAGTAGGAATTAGCTTCCTGAAGGTCACATTCATATGGAGCTCCTCCAGAAAGAGTGGTTGGCCATTCATGATGTTGTTGTGACTTTTGCTTTCCTACAGTGAGAAGTGGTCTTCCTCGATCACTGACAATGAACACCACAACTGTCTTGTCTGTGAGTTTTGATGAAAATATTTTGAAATATGCCATCCTGCCTGGAAACTTTGCATTTGTAGTCCACCTCCTTTAGAAAGCACCAGGTTGAGAAGCTAGATATTTGCAGGCAAATTCTGAAACAGAATTTTGTTTCTCCTCCTCATATTTACCCAACTCCCAAGAGAAGCCCAGCTAACAACCACCTCATCCTAGGCCAGAAAGTTCAATTCTGGCCTGTTCTACCTGCTGAATATGTTTAGGTATTTGGGATTTCTTACCATTTCTATCTGTGCTGCTGAAATGAATGCACAGTATATAAAGTGTTGGGCATGCCATTAATAAATCAATAGCTACAATTCAACTTCTCTTTGACATCATTAGGGGACCCCAATGAAGGGTCTGAGGAGTCACTCAGCAAAAAAACCCCAACCAACCTGTAGCTGATCCCTTACCTCAGCCTGGAAACCTTCAACCAGGATGGCAACCAAGAGGTTGAAAAGTACATAATTGCCAAAAGTCATCAAAGCCACAAAATAGAGGGCAGCCCAGGAGGAGGTGGACGCCATTCCGTTGTACAGGACCACATTCCAGTCTTCCTGGGTCAGGATCTGAAAGAAGCAGACGGGACAGAAAGAGCACCTGAATTCACTTCCCTCTTTTCTGGCTTCACTATGTTCTCCAAGCTTGGCTATTCATGCTTCCAAGTGGCCTTACATCTCCAATCCCATTGCTATAGCATCTTCTGCCTGTGCAGCCCTAGAATTGTGTGTGTTTCCAAAGAAAGGCGCTGGTAAGAAGGTGCAAAACCTCCCTTGCCGAATCACTTTCTGTGCCTGTTCAGAGAATGTGAAAGATGCAGACCAAGGTGGGACCCATCTAGTTAGCGGCTTTCTCCCAGGAGTGAAGACTCATCAAGGCCTTCCTGATAGGTTCCTGCCCTCCCAGGAACATCTCTAGCCATTCCACCAGCAGAAGTTGACCCTCCATCCTTCTGGATCTCACTGCCATTGGCTCCTCCTCTTCCCAAACAGCCTCCTCTTATTGACAGCTAATCTGCTTGTCTGTTGCTGAGATGAATCTTCTGTTTATTAGCCCCCTCCTATTGGCTAAACTGGGACTCCCATTCTCTGGAACGCAAGCGGTAAAAGTACAGGGGAGGCGATGCCCAAATTCACTTTTTTTCTTCTCTCCTGCGTGTCTTTTTCCTGCTGAGTCACATCTCTTAGTCAAGTGGCAAGCCATTGATCATAAATGTAAACGAGGGCTTTGCATTAGGACTGGAGATAAAGAAAGTTTTTGCACGAGCAAAGTGCTCTCTGTCACCATTCGAAACAGCAAGGGTGGTTATTGTTAACAATGGCATTAATTACATCACTTTTGCTTATAGGCCACACTTCCGCCTGTTGGGAGGTATGGAAAATGGTAAAGAATAACCCAGGAACTGTGCTCTAGAAAGCATCAGCCTTTTCCCTTAAACCAGCCCAACTTTAACCAAGTTAACTGTTTTCAAAGCCACTGGGGAGCAGAAGGTGAGCCTTGTTTCCACACAGTCCCCTTGGACTTGATAGAGTTGTACAGCTCCCGTTGACCTTGGCAGAAAGCACCAAGTTCAGCTTCTGTATTTTTGCACCTAATTTAGTTACCTACAAGACTTTGCTAGGAAAACACAACCAGCCTCTCCATTAGACGGATGGAGCGACAGCATAAACGAGACAGAACTGCTGTCAGATTCTCCCAGCAGTCAATTATTTAATTCCTGGTGGTTGTTTATCTAGACAGGATGCTCTGAAGGGGAGAGAGAGTCATCATTTTCCTGTTTTCCAGAGAATTTTTAAGTGATTTTATCCTCTAAAGCAGTGTTTTTCAAACTGGGCAGCTTTAAGATGGGTGGACTTCATCTCCCATAATTCTAGGGAGGTGAAGTCCACCCATCTCAAAGTTCCCCAAACATGCTGGCTGGGGAATTCTGGGAGTTGAACTCCACACATTTTAAAGTGGTCAAGTTTGAAAAACGCTGCTCTAAAGGTTATTTGTTTTGTCATGCTGGTCTGCATCTTGGACTTTGGAGATAAAAGGCTGCAAATGGTACATCTTTCCTTTTCTGGAATTATTTCCAGTGGAGACAGGACAGTCCAATGATTGACCCAATAGTGTGCAAAAATAAGGAAAGTCCACCATTCTGACTTCTGGAATGGCTATGCTGATGTCTCTGGGGAGCTTCCAGTATGCTGCCTTTAAACAGGGAGGCTCTATTTAGCCATTTAAGGATCAGCCATTGGCAACATCTCTGTTTTTTTTAAATCTAATCTTCCAAAACTACTGGGCATCACCATTGCCTGGGCCTGCCAATTGCTGGGGTTACTTGTTCCAAGCACCTCCCAAAGCAACATGCATCCTTGCTGGCTTGGTCTCTGCAAATCTGCCTCTTGTCAAGACCAGAAACGTCCAACTGTTCATAACTCGGCATGCATGGATGGTTCTCTGGAGTCCAAAGAGGCCTTTTTGTGGGAGATGCTCCTCCCGGAGAAGATTGTTTTGCTTAAGGAAAACCCTGTTGCTAAAAGCCCTTTTGCTAAACGGCTGTTGGCGCTCAAGCCAAGGCACCGTTCAGCCTGGCCTTGTCTCTTGCAGAAGTGACATTTGAGCACGGCTATTTGGAGACCCCAACTTGAGTGTCACATGCAGCTCCCTAGAACAGGGTTCCTCAACCTCAACAACTTTAAGATGGGTGGAGTTCAACTCCCAGAATCCCCCAGCCCAACATCTTAAAGTTGCTGAGGTTGAGGAACCCTGCCCTAGAAGGCTTCCTCAATTCCAGATTCTTGCCTTGCTTTGCAAGGACATACAGATTGTCCTATTTTACATGGTCTTGATCTGCTTGGCTAGTACCAAACTTCCAAACGTCATTTGGAACGGAACGTAGCTCAGCCCGGAGTTGGTTTTATAGAAAACATTTTACGATGGTTTTTACACGGCACAATGATGTGTCCTGCTCCACCGTAGCTCTGCTTACAACTCTATGTCTGGAATAAGTTTCCCCTGCTTCCTTTCCCCTCACTTTTGTTTTCTTTCTTGGCGTGCAGTTTTAGACTGGGAGTTCAGGAGGACAGGAGCTCTGGGCTTATCATTATACAAAATCCCAAAATTATTGAAAGGATCTTGCTTCTGGAAAAGTTTTTGCATGTTTTATACACCACCTTATCCAACGTCTTATACAAACTCTTAAGGACCTTACCTGAAATACAGTGACAATCGCCCACAGCAAGGAATCGAAGTTCTTCCGATCTGGCATTGTGTCCCCTGTATCTGTTCTTAAGCCGAATTTGCACCCAAAAAGATGCATACCGAGGATGCTGAGAAGGGGAAGGGGAAGGAAAGAGAGAGGAAGAGAACAAGATTGAAAAGGAAAACAGCTTATCCAGGGTTTTTGAACAGGTTCTGGCTCCTGTTTCATTTTGGGTGGCAGTCTGAAATAACTCAGATCATCCTTCCCCTTCCAGGCGGTTGGCTAGAAAGGATGTGTTAGGTGGGGCTGCCTTCTCCAACCAGGATCCCACTGGGGCTATGAGGAATAAAATTCCCAGAATTTCCTGACAGCGTGACAAAAAGCCATGTTGACCGATAGGGCTGGGACTCCCTGGAAGGCTCCAGATTGGAGAAGCACAAACAGTGTGAGAATCAACCTCTTTTCCACATTCACTTTGATGTCCCTGAAGTCTGCAAAAGCTTATTTGATTCTTCTCTAGAAAAGTTTCGCCGGTTGCAAAGCTCTGCCTGCTCTTTCAGGAATAAAGTAGCTGACATTCATTTTGGGGAAGAAATCCAGTCCCCCTTTTTGCACATGCGGACTTTTCATGGGGTCCCTTTCAAGCCAAGCCGATTCTCACCCTATTTGGGGAGGAGCGATCCTTGGCCTCAAATGCAGCAGTCTCGCTGCTCTTTGCCATCTATCACAAACAAAGGAGGAGGCACTGTTTTGTCACACTTGTCACTTTGCATCTTTCTTTTGTCTCCTGGGTGGCAGGATGTAGAAAGAACGAGGCTACCCAGGGGACATCGATCTGCTGAGCACCAGCCTGTCAGTCTCTGGAGAGGCCGTTGTTATTCCCACGTGTTGGCAAATGGGATCCTTGTCACTGTAATTGGTGCAGCGTCGAGAGGAACACAACAACCAGTTAACTAGGAAAGACAGGAGAAGTGCCGAAGGACACACACCTGAAGATGAATATGAACAGCATGAGCAGCATGCAGAAGGTGGCCACGTTGTCCATGGTCTTCATGAGAACAACCAACTGCCGACGAAGAGCTGGCATGAACCGCACAAGCTTGAGGACGCGGAGGAGACGGAAGGTCCTCAGCACTGAAAGCCCACCATCTGATTGGCCAATGATCTCCCAGACACTGCAGGATGGAAAAAGAGATTCAGGCAGTTTGGGCCGTCCAGCTTCTGAACCACTGTCAACTTCCTAACTGACCCTGGTGGCAGAGATGGCCTGGGGGTATTTTCTGGCATATTTGCAGATAATCAAGTTGGGCCCATAGAACATTTTTTCATAGCGGATTTGGGCATGTGGTGGACAAAATGGAGAGATATAAGGGTACATTCTCTGGGGAACTATCTTTCCTCCCCTCCCAGTTCCTCTGTAGATGCAGCTAAGTCAGCACATGTCCCCAGAAGACAATTCGAGGAGATGACCCCAAGGAAGCAGTAGCACCAATAAGTGGAATATAGCTTCCCCAAAATTTGCTGCAGTGGTAAAAAAAGACGAGCAGGCAAGGAAATTCAACTGGCAGCCAATTTCAATCTCTCTCCCTCTGCCCGCCCCAGTTTCAAGCAGAAGGAACCACGTGAAGGATTATGCAGAGGCAGTGTCAGAAGCCAACTTACCTGATGACAACAATGATGCCATCAAAAATGTTGTAGGGGTTCTTGATATAACCCCAGATGCCAAAGGCCAAGAGCTTGAGGAGCATCTCTAGAGCAAACATGCTTGTGAAGACAATGTTACTAATCTCCAGGGCATTGGTTAGCTCATCCGGCTGGGCAAGAGCAAGAAATAAGGATGGTTCAAGTCAGAATGGATGCCAAAATACTTCTGTGTTAACTATTTCTAAGTTCTAGTTGCAGATGAAGTAGACCAGAATCTAATAAAATGGGACAACTATATTATCTTGCTCCATCATGATAGTTAAGCTGAGTTGTTCTCCTGATCTTGTGACCATGGAGATTATCATAACAATGGAAAATAGGGTGACATGATGCAACATATAGAAGAGTAATAATATGACGTATCAAACAAGATAGAATCAGCAAGTAGGAGAAATGTCTAAAAATGAACATCTACTTGTTGACACATCAATGAATTGCAAGTATTAGCAGTCCCAGAAGAAGGATATTAGTGTGCCCGTGTGTGTGTCTATATTCTACCTATCTACTTATCTATCTATCATCTATTTATCATCTCCTCTGACTGCTTCTTGTGAATCTTACCACAATACCAACACTTGGCAGGTCAACTGTTGAGAGTTGATGGTCTGGTTTCCCACCATCTCAGATGGGAAAGGCAGTTAAAAAAACAAAGAAAACCCCAGTTCTCCCCTCTAAAATCCAGAAACACATGAAAAATGCTGAGCTTGTCCATGTCACCCATGCGCCCCTGTGTGTTTTGCTCCAAAGACCGTAGAAGTGAGACCCTCAACCTCTCCCACACCCAAAACCTTAAATAGTTCATTTCCCACACAAACAGTGGCAAAAATGCTGTTGCAGAAAATAGGATTCCAAGGAAGGAGACAATTTAATGTTAAAAATAGACTGAAGGTACCATTTCAGCAGTTTTAATGCTAAGCAGAATTGGGCAGAAAACATGTGGAACCATACCAAGAAGTGATAACCCCAACCAGCACTGGGGAAAATTTCTAGCGCTAGAAGCTGCCTTCCCCATTCATTATAAATCCTTCATTAGCACAAACATCTGTAACAGATCTACTGCATGGGTAACCTTGGTCTGGAATGGCTGTGAAGCAACCACATGTTTTAAATCCCCTTTCTCTTTCTGTGATATGCACTGCCTATTGAACCCCGCGCATGCTTCCTTCTTGCCACAGCTTTTCCAGATCAGTTTATTTATTCATTGAGCAGTTTTTCAGCCAGAATGCGTGAAACGTGAATTACAGCAAGAGACACAACTAGTCACAAGGAGCCAACAAACAAAGGACAGTTTGGTTTAAAAAGCAACCCTCCTCTATCTATCCTTGGTTTCTAGGCAACTCTTGTAAATGCTGCCGTTGAAAGTGATCAAATGACAACTTTAACTGAATTACTGAAGCTAACGAGATCCACAAGCAGGGACTTTAAAACCCTTTTCCCTTGCGTTATGCACAACATGAGAAGGCGAGTATGGAGTGACAGAGAGGGTTTCTTAAGCTTTTCTGAAGGCCTAATTGATTCACGGTAGAAAATAGCAGCTGGCGCGGGAAGAAATCCATTCATTTTGCATTTTCATACAAACGTACTGTGCCTACTTCACTCTGTCCCGGTCAGTGCCCCAGCTGAGATGTTTGGCCTTTATGCAGCTTGAAATTTGGGATGTAGTCGCCAGCTCCAAAAGTTCTAAAAATGTGCGTGTTTAGGAAAGTAATGTGTAAAAAAGGGAAATGCCATAGAAAAATAAATACCTCTTTCGTGCAGAATGTTGCAGCAGACGTTGGATGGGAGGAACGGGTAAGGTGATGCTCAGAGCCCAGAAAGAAGCTGCTTTGTTCTTCTTTAGGGCTGACTAATCCCCGTGCCCCCGGCTAATTCCCCAAGAGAATGCCAACCTCTTTCATCACCTCCTGCTCAGGAACCCCAAGCAGAAAAGGGGATTCTGTTGAAAATAACTTCCTCTCTTTCCATGTTCGTCATTCACGAAGCAGCAGGTCAAGAACCAGGAAGGACCCACATTGGTCAAGAGCTGAGAGGTGGGGAAGCGATACAGACAATACACAACTGAGAGAGAAAAATAAGTGCTCAATCTGAGATGTCATGTAGCTGTCAGAAGGGCAAGGAGGCTATCCAGGATGAAGCAACAGTGGAGGAGGGTTCCTTGTTGGCTTTTCTTAGGCAAGGAAGTGTGACTGTTTTACAAGAAGGGGTTGCATCTCTACCCCGCCTTTTTGCACACAGACAGGCAGCCTCTTCTTGTAGAACAACCGCACCTCCTTGCATTATGGACAAGCTGAGATGATTTGGTTTGGTAAGCTTCCAAGTCTGGAAGAGAGGCTTCCAAGTGCCCCACTCAGTGGAATTGCAGCCTTGGAGTCATTTCTCCTTACATACAAAAGAGAAGTGATTAAGGGAACAATTCATGATAATTAGCGTGGGACAAGCAACATGGGAGACGGAACTGCATAAGTGCAATCTGTTTGGAGGAGATGAGCAGCAATGGCCAGGACAGCTTTCCTTCTTGGTATAAATGCCAGAAGGAGTAAATTGCAAGAGGAATGAGTGTGCAAAACCAATGATAGAGTAAGTAGCTGAAAATAAACAGAAAAAACACACCTGGAAGAGTCAGGTCACGTTCAGAGAATGCAAGACCCAGGCCAACAGAGCAAACACTGTGCTCTGAAGACAATCAGGTTACCTGTTCAAGACAGAAGAACTGTTGCAATGGGTCCCATTCCGGGATCCAAGAGCAAAACCAGAGTACAGGTACCACCCCAGGACATATTCACCAATTTGCCTGCTTCCCGTAATGTCAAAAACTTGTCCTTTTTGTAAACAAGGATGCCAAATGAGACTACAGTGGGATCTCTGAAGCAGGATTTCCCTAACCTTGTTGAGCTCTGTGACTAATGTTATGGGCTATAAAAACCCTTGCCTACACTTGAACTTCTGCAGATATGCGAGTGCCCGTAGTGCAGATTAAACCTTTTGCCCAACTCATGGAGCTCTGCAATCTCCTCGTCTCCCATGACTAATCTGTTTAACTAATGAATTACTTTCTGGCTTCCATGTTAGATTTCCAGTGCTTGCACATCATTAAGTAAGTAAGTGCTTGATAGAAACCTTTTTTTTTAAAAAAAAAGACCAATCCAGGAGATTTGAACAGGGGCTCAGGTAGGATTAGCCAAGCCCCCCTCCCACCCCACCCCCCCTTCCAATTGCTGGAAAGCCCTTAAAAGGGTTTGAAATGTTGGACGGGTGAGGAGTTGAATGAATGATATGGTTAAAAGAAGGGATGCAGAGCTTTCAAGCACTGCTTAACTCCCACCCACGCCCCACAGTACCAGAGCAAGAAAAGAAATTGGAAGAAATTCCATAATTGGATCTAGCATTCAGGGAGACCCAGAATTGCAGGTGGGATTCTCTCGGCACTGCCCCTTTTGGGGGCTCAAAGCTCCTCGCTAGCTCCTTGCTCTGGGAAAGAGAAAAGGAGGTGATCATCCTGAATAGGTATCTGCTTTCCACCCCAGTTGGTGAATCATCTGCCTCCTCGCATTCCTGTCCCTTCAACTTCTCTGAGGAACTCACCGCGCTCCCGTGGGGCCTGCCCTTTCCATTAAGGCAGACTTCCAAGCCGCTCTTAGGGCGCACAGCAACGTATCGACGCTTTGCTCTTCCCATTTCTCAGCTTCACTCGGCAAAAAGCAATCTTATTTCAAGTGGCTTAAATGCCAGCCTAGATTGGATCAATTACCACCTCCCCCGAACGGGAAGGAAGAACCAGGAGAGCCATTTCAGATGCCGCCACCTGAAGCTTCTCTTTTGGGAGATCAGAGGCTACATGGATGAAATAGAGTTCGTTGCCGCTCACCTGGTCCCACAGATGGAGCAGAAGCAGGCAAAGAAGACGGGGACTGCAGAAAGATCTCACAGAGGAATGAATGGTTGATGACTTCTTTGGGTAACAGTCAAGGGCAGATGAAAGTGAAGGGTGGAGAGGTAATAATCTGCAGGAGGATGCACATTTGGGCCCTTCTCTATGAAATATTCGTGCTTGGTGTATCCTCTAATTCCATGTTTCTCAACCTTGGCAACTTTAAGATGCGTGGACTTCAATTCACCCATCTTAAAGTTGGCAAGGTTGAGAAACTCAGCTCTAATTCAATGGATGGAAAGTGAGGGAGAGATACATTTTAGGATTTTGTATTCTCCCATGAGATGGAAACCTGCTCCAGTCCATAAAATTGTGGCAGGACCCAAGGGCCACTGGTCATTATCACGATCATCCCTCATTAGGTCATAACTTCTGTGCTGGGAGCCCATCTCCTCTTGACTTAGCAAAAGCAGCAGCTGGGATGGGTAGACAGGTTTGTGTGGGGCATATTCTGGCCTTGATCCAGGAGGAATGGAGGAACTCATCTGGGTTGATCTTCTAGAGGAGCAAGTATTTAGCTTGGCACGGGAGTACTCGCTGGTTGCAATGCTACCCCTGGAAAGTTGGGGCTGGCTGTGGCTAAGATGCCACCCCAGCCCTAGCTAGCGTGCCAGCTGCAGCCTTTGGGAGAGAAAATGGCCTTCCTTCCCTTCTTTTCTTTCATCACCTTTACCCAGAAATCCACCATGTCCATTTCTGCATTAATCTGCGTATTTGTTTTAAAAAGGAGATCTACAAACAAACTTATGAGGGCTTTCTTTGGATCTGGGGTCTGGGAAGATTTGGGGAGTGCAAACGCAAACCATTTTCTATTGCAGTTTGCCTAGCACCCAATTCCTCCCAGTTGCTACTGCCCAATTTCACGAGCGGCCTCTGAGATCCAGGATTACGTGAGAGGGAGAAAAATTCAGTTTGATCCAGAGAATTTAATAAAGATTTATCAAGGCCTGCAAGTTGTCTTTAAAAAAAAAAAATGAAAAAAACCCAGAATCCAAATGTTTTGGCCTTTGCAGAAAAGGAATTCCAAACCTCAGTCCATTTCCTTGCTCTTTTCTCTACTCTTTCCAAAAAGAAAGAAAGAAAAAAAGAGGTGGGGGGAGGCAGGGGAAACTCAGAGTAAAGTCTTGCTCTTTGCAGCATGTTGAGACAATAACTTTGGTCGACCGACAGAGAGATCAAAAG